CTAATAAGGGCAGTTTTTCACATTACTAAGTAGAAGTCAGTGTTGTAGCTGTAGTGAAACAGCTTGGCTAGGGTTGCAGCTAATTCTGGAGCACAAATCTTCAGTATTATTGCTGGAATGTTGTCAGATTCTTAGCCTTTTCAGTATTTCATTACCTCCAGCTGGTTCTTGATTTCACATGGTGAGTTTTGAATTGGCTGAAGACTGGCACCTGTGATGCTAGGGACTTCGGGAAGATGCTGAAATCACACACTTGGCACTTCTGGCTGAAGATGGTTGTGATAGCTTCAGCCTTATCATTTTCATTGATGTACTGGGATTCTTCATCATTGAGAATGGGAATATTTGTGGAGTTTCCTTCTCCATTGAGTTGCTTCATTGTCCACCACCATTCATAACTTGATGAGGCAGGACTGTAGAACTGTTGGTTGTGGGATTGCTTAGCCCTGGCTACTGTATGCTCCTTCCACTATGACATGCAAGTGATTCTGTGTTGTAGCTTCACCACGTTGACACTTCCTTTTAGGTATGCCTGGTGCTATTCTTAGCATGCCCTCCATCATTCTTTACTGAACTATTGTTGACCCTTGGCTGGATGGTACTGGAAGTATGAGGGATATGCTGGGTGGTGAGGTTACAGATTGTGGTTGAATACAATTGTAGTGCTGCTGATGACCCACTTTTGTACTTGTGTACCCTGATTTGAGTTGCTAGATCTGTTTGAAATCTGCTCTATCTAACATAGCAGCATGTAACATTGTGGAGCGTACATTCAATGAAGATGGGACTTTGTCTCCACAATGATTGTGCAGTGGTCAGTCCTAGTAATCCAGTTATGTACAACTGCATCTACAACATGCAGACTGATGAGGATAAGTTCAAGTAAGTTTTTTGCTTCTTGTTCCGTCCCTCTTACTAGCCTGCAGCAGATCCAGTCTAGCAGCTATATCTTTTAGACTCAGTATGGTGGAGATTGAAGTCCTACACCAAAAGTACATTCTGTGCCATTGCCACCCTCAGTGTTTCTTCCCAGTGGTGTTCAACATGGGAGGGGTACTGATTCACCAGCTGAGGGGAGTAGGGGTGAGTGGGTAGCACGGGTTGTGATGTTGGTGTAGGTGGGAACCAGTGGTCAGTGAAAGGTTTCCTTACCTTTGTATTTGAGAATGCCATGAGACATCATGGAATTCAAAACCCAAATCAAAGAGATTTGAACAAACTGAACAGGTGGCAGCCCCTTCAACTGACCTTGCAACAAGCGATAAAATCTCAAAAGAAAGTTAATAATCTTAATTAAAATGTCACTTGATGGGGTGATGATGCACTTCATCGCTTGTAGGGCCCATTGGTCATGGAAGCCTTTGAGCATAGTAGCGAATGCTCCAATATATACAAGCACAGGTGAATCCCCAGTAAACGACCACCACGTGTGTACCATTAGACATCCAATTAATAATGATTCACGGCAGTCCATTCAAAAATTCAGCGAGTGGAACGCCTTCTTGTTATTAAATTTGACTAGGTCTTGAAGGTGACAGTGTTTAGACAGTCGATGAAACCTTTCACCAGCGGTAAGGGCAAGTCTGAGATTTCTCTTCCCCCGCTCAGGATCCTGTTGTGTCATCTTCCTGATAGTTGAGTGGTCTGCAAACTGACTGCTGTTGTTTATATCAATTGCTACAGTCTAAATTCAGACCACAGTAGAAATGTTGAGCAGCACAGTTATCTTAAGAGCCACAGGCTTTATGTGCTTGTTCTTTGTCCACAATTCTTGCTGAAGCAGGTAACATAGACCAGAGACTGTCTTTATAATGAAGCATTGCCTCCCTACAGCTCCAGTCCTGTCATGATATCTTATTCCAAGATGCCCTCCTGCTGAAACACCTCTTTGGTCCTTGCCTCCTTCACCATCTTTTTTGACCTTCCAGAGATCTTTACTGCCAGGCTTGCTGTTACTGTTGCAACCTCATTAGGAAACCCAGCAAGATACCCTTCATTTCTAGAACTCGTATAGTTAATAAAGTCAAATAATTCAGCTGCAGCCAAATGTCAGCTCTCTAAAACCTCGGGTACGTATAAGTTAGAGCACTGAAATAGTACTTTTGATCAAAAAGCTTTACATTGGCATTTAAACTCCACATGAACTTTCTCCCACCTTTCTTTCTTTTTCTCACCTCCCTTAAATGAAATAAATATGAACTATAAACAAGCAAAACTTGGTTCCAAAAATCTCTGCAAGTAAAAGTCTCCCACCACACATTGACTCCAATGGAAATAAAAAGAGATGTGAAAACAGGTCTCTGTTGCATAAAGTCAGTATCTACCACAATGTAACCAGCTCTGCCTTCATTTGTCAATTCAAACTTAGCAACAAAATGTCTGGTGGCTTGCTCATTTGTTCAATGGCTTTGTAAACATAAGGTTCTCTGTATCATTGTTGCACCTATGTTATCAGATAAGAACTTCTGATGCATAGCACAATTGATCTCCTTGCTCTTCCAATGGAAAGTACAGGATACAATTTAAAAATTAGAAACATAGAAGATAGAAGCAGGAGTAAGCCATTTGACCCTTCTGCCATTGAATATGATCATGGATTGTTTTCCTTAGAACAGAGGAGGCTGAGGGGTGATTTACTGGACCTGTACAAAATACTGAGGGGCCTGCATAGAATGGACAAGAGTCTTGTTTCCTCTCGTGAAAAGGTCAATGAGCAGTGATCACACAGACATGAGGTGATTGGTAGAAAGATTAGAGGGTACATGAGGAAAATCATTTTCATCCAAAGGATGGTAGGTGTCTGGAATTTACTGCTCAGTTTAATGATTGAGGTGGAAACTCTCAACTCATTTAAAATCAACCTGGATCTGCGTCTTAAGTGCTGTAACTTACAAACCTACAAACCAGGTGGTGGAAAGTGGAGATAGTAGAAACTGCAGATGCTGGAGAATCTGAGATAACAAGGTGTAGAGCTGGATGAACACAGCAGGCCAAGCAGCATCAGAGGAGCAGGAAGGCTGACGTTTCGGGCCTGGACCATTCTTCAGAAATTGAATTAGAATGGGGAACTGGTTTATTCAGCCGCGGCAGACACAGAGGGCGGAATGACCTCTTTCTGTGCAGTAACTTTTCTATGGTCCTATTCATAACATTTTGAAGTAAACATACTAAATAGTAGAAATGCACAATACTTGATAGAAAACGCTAAACTAACTGATAACGTATTCATGTGCTGCGTGTGTGTCTGTAGTAAATGGATCCGCCGCCAGGAGGAGTATTGGAGCTGTCTAACAAGGGTTTCCGATCTGTCAGCTCAATCCTGGGGACTGGGTGATTTCGCCAAATTCACAATCTGTATTAAACTGGAAAATGGAAGGAGCAGACACAACGTGAGAAACACGGGCAACGAGTCATATTTGGAGAAATTCGATAAACTGCAGACCGGGGTGGGGGGAGCAAAGCTGAATGACCTGATGAATGTTTTGCGTGAAACTCTTTTTATAGTTATGCAAATCCTGCCTCCGAGCACTCCTGTATTGCTGCATGTGTAACTCATCGCCTGGGGCAGTGACACCAGGTCTCTTCCAGCAGGCGAAGAACTAACCATTTATTTTTACACATCACTCATGCCGTTGAGTTAACCTGACAGTAAAGCCACATGACCGAATCGGTATTATTTTCTTCCCCAGTTTATTTATTAACGGACGGGTTAATCTGAACGTTAATCTATCATTTTAGACACTTGTCAGTTCTGGGAAAATCAGAGGGTGGGGGGGTGAGGCCTGCAATTATTTTCAACACAATGAATCGACTTGCTGAGAGACAGTGTTGAAAGTTAAGCCGAAGCTGTGAAGTGTGAGGAGAGGGGATATTGCAGGCGCCTGTGCTCCTGCAAAAGGCTGTCCCTGCCCCCAGCCTGTGGTAAACACGGCGATTGGTGAGAAGGGGCAGCGTATCAACCTTCGGGAAGGCGGGGCTTCCTCATATCCCTCCCCTTCACATGTGGTGGGGGGGTGAATTTCCAACGCCTTCCCCCAACCCTCCCCAAACAAAAAGGCTGGGAGATCCGCCCTTTCCCTGCCCCGCCTCCAAAACATCGCCGAGCCGCCAGACTCTCAATGAAACGGCGGCTTTCCCCGCCCATCAGCACCGCTCGCTTGCTCATTCACCCGCCTCGGATTTCTCTCTTGCATCCCGGCTGCTGGCTTTTCTCATCCTGGGAGGGGAGTAGCGCACACACACCCCACCCCAAACAACAGACAGTACCACTAGCCCCTCCCCAATCCTGGAGAGGCTTGTTTTGCATTCGGCTGCTGTTGCCCGGACCGTGTTTGCAGAACGCTAACCAGGACTGAGTGTGTGTGTGTGTGAGAGAGACTGAGTGTAGACTGCAGCGTCTACTTTGTGTTTCGGCTCCTTAAACCACATCTTTCAAAGTCTGTCTTCAGTGTTGGGGGAGGGGGGGCGGGGGTGTTTATTTTGCCAGAGTTAGAGGGGGGAGAGGCTGGCCAGAGAGAGGAAACAGCAAAGGATGCTATGACTTACTGGCTGCTGTCTTGGGAATCTCCAGCTGCCCTTGTTCTCTCCCCCCAAGTAACTGAATATATATATAATTTAAACATATCGATCTCTCTCGCACATATTACCCGCAGCACCAACAACGCACCTGGGGCTTTTTGCACTGACTTCTTGCTCGTTTCTGCTGCCAGTTGCATACAGATTGCGGACTTAACCTCGTTTTACAGAACAAGCACAGAACTTTGCGCCGATCCCACTCTCCGCTGCTAGTCAGCTCGGAGTATTCAGTGATTGACTTTTGAGTTCGCCGATCACATTTTGCGTTCAGATGCTTCTGTAATTTCTTCCCAAGTCTCCGCGGTGTCTGAACGACACGGTTTGCCAGCATTTCCTCCTCATTTCTTGCTCCGATCTTGGACTTTGCCTCTCCGATTTCGGATCTCACCCCCACCCCCCCCCCCCGCCCCGAGACCAGTGAATGAGAAGCAGGGTCATCTGAAGCTGCAAGTTTGGAGAAAGAACGAGGCAGCCGAGTTGCTCTCCTCCTGTCTGCAGCGATGATCAACGTGGAGATGGTTGTCGTCTTCGTCGTCCTCTGGGTGTGTGTTTGGTCGCAGGAGCCCAGCAAAGTGGTGGCCGACCGGTACGCCGTCTACTGGAACAGCAGCAACCCGAGGTGAGGCGCGCCTGGGAGCTGGCTGCGGGAACGGGGACAGTGAGTGAGCCCGCTTTACCCGGGCCCGACTGGGCTGCAGGGGCTCGGGCTCGGGCTCGGGAGGGGAGGGGAGGGGAGGGGGGAACGCCACCTTTTAACTAACCTCTTTTTAAGTTAAAAAGATAACGAGGATTACCTTGGGTTTAGATCATCCTGACACTGTGATTTCGATCACAAGAAAGAAAAACCGCAAGGAATGGAAGGGGTCGGGCGAAATGATTTAAAGCAGACAAGTCCGGCATATGTAATCCATGGTGTAGGCAAGAGGGTATTTTCAGGTGAACTGGTGAGGCTTAAACAGACGCTGGCTTGGTATTGGGAATGTAATGAAGCGCAGCTCCCTGTCCAAGTTACAGCTCAGGCAGAGACAGCACATGCTCCGGTTGTTTGAGGTGCCCCCGGGGTCTGTGCGCTAAAAGCTGCAGCCACTGAGTTTCAAAGCGGGCCCGCGATGAGCCCACGTCCCGCCGGATTGAAAGCTGCCTTCCCCTGGCGCCGGGGGCGGGAGGGCCGCTGCTGAAATACAGGAAGAACCCCGTCTGTTTTAGCGAGGCAGCAGCTTCCTCCACAAGGCTGTTTTGAATTTAGGTGGTGAAGTTGCTTTTGTTGTTGAAAGATCGGATAGAAACGACTTCTCACCCGACTGTCCGTTCTCCAGAGGCGTGCAAAATATTCCCTTTAAAAAAAATACCCGGGCGGTGATTAAATTCAGGAGTTTTGAAACGTACAACGTGCAATATTTAATGAAATAATCGGGCAGTGTATAAATCCTGAGATTGTGCGAGCTGGCTCCTAGGGGCGGGGGAGAAGAGTTAAAAGTTTGGGTGAAACTTGGAACCAGCTTCAGCCCGGAGTCTGTGGCCGGAGCCGCCTCACATCCGAGAAACATCAGGTCAGGATGCTTGGGAACAGCTTGGTCTTGTTTCATTTCAAGTTTCACTCGGCGGTTTGTCCAGTTACAATCATTTGCAAAGTTGACCATTCCTATTTCTTTTTCTTCAAATTTCCTTTTGCTTAAAATGCGCTGCCGAAAACTCATCCGTCCCGTCTGCCGTTCTGTTCTCTTTCCGAAACCAAAATTACAAAACATTTCTTTCCTTTTGAGGAACAACATCTGGATTCGGAATTGCAGCTGCGCCCCTTCCCCAATCTCTCATTATCGAGAGATGGAAAGTTTTAATCATAAACGTAAACTGAAAATGCAAGTCGATGTGTTAGGTAATTGCTAAGCAGTTCGAGGATTAAAAACAAAAAAAAAAGTACCCCTTTTCTGTGAGGGAGACTTTAAATTGCAAATGTTGCTGTATTGGGAATCACCACATTTGGGAAGTCTGGTGCTGTGCTGCAAATAGCATTAACAACCTGGTCACCAATTGTCATCAGGAATTTGTTATCTACCGTTAAGCTTTGTCGCACAGTGTTTCTTTTTCAGAGATTTGTATGACACATGGTGGATTTTGATTAAAATAGCCAAATATTTCTCAAATTCAGTATTGTAAGTTTGTTACTGAGCTTCCGAAGCTGAAAATATTTTGAAGTTTAGTTTTACCGTGGATGCATAAAGACTTTTCACAAGTAAACAAAAACTACTTGCTACAAACAAATAAGAGACTCTGCATTTAATTTAAATCTAGGTCGAATGATCATCCCTATTTTCATTTTCTTTGAAAATGCTTAAGGGATTCAGCAAGTACAATAAAAAAAAGGTTGTTTTATTGTTTCATTCTAAGTTGCACATTGTAGTTTAAATCTACAATTAGTGGTTTGGGTTGGTACCCTTCTTTTGGCCTCTTTTTCTTGTATCTGTTATTATGTTGCTCCCTCTGTCTGTTGCTCCCATTGTGCATGCAAGCCCTCTCATGTGTGATTTTTGTGTGTGTAATATTCTTTTTCCCTGCTGTTCTCATCTTTATATATCTCTGTATTTTGTGTACATCGCTTTATTGTTCTGCTTTCTTTCTTTATCCCTGTTCCCTTCAACCAGTTTAGTAACTTCCTCCTTTCTTTGTAGCTATATCTCACTTTGACCTCTGCCTTTTTCTTTGATTGTATTTATATGTGTGCTTCTCATTATTTTTAGTCTTTTTGTTTCTGCGTTCTCCATTGCACGTTCTCCCTTTTTTGATACCATTCTTTATATACTTGTGCAAGTGTCTTTGTCTCTGTTTTCCTGTAATTATTCCATTTTGTATATTCTTTCCAGAGTAATGTTCTCCCTTGTTTTATGCATCTCTTTTTCTCACACAGAGGTGATGTCCCACTTTGAGCTGAGATGAACAAACGAATTTGGGTCACAGAGCATGTTTTTATGCATTTATTACACTGTCAGGCAAAAACCTGTTTCCAATTTATAAAGTGGATTTTGAACTATTGGGAGAATTTCCTCACCCAGGTTGAAATGATGGAAAAAGCAGAATCTTTTTTGTGGGTTTAAATATGGTGAATTTAGAATTTTTTTAAAAAAGCTAAATTTTGTTATGGTTACTAGATATTTGATATACCACAGGTTTCAGCAATAAGTTTTATCAACAAAAATGATGTCTGCACTGACAAAAAACATTATCGTCATTTATGAGTTAGAATTATCTTGTGACATTTCAAGTAATTGTATAAATTAACAATACAGGATTCTGTTTGAAAGCTGTTTATATAGAAATAAATTGAATGTAATATTGTACAGTGCATGGTTATTGCTTTCAGTCTTGCCAGTTAGGAACAACGGAAAAGTGGGACTCCAATTCTCTGGACCGTCAGGCTATTACTAGCTTACCCTCTCCTCTGGATAACTGGCTCAGGACAGTATTCCTTGATAAAGAAAGGGTGCAGATAGTGGAGGAATTCAAGATTGGTAAAATTGCATGTTGCAACAGCAGGGATAATACACAGTCATGACATTATTAGCCATTGCCACTGACCTCAGAATGGCTGTATATCTTCTGTTTCTAGCTGAGCAAAAGTTATGGATAAACAACAAAGTAACCTTTCTTAAATAAACATTAGGCTGCTTTTATTTGAGAAATACGATCAGGTTGTACAGATAATAACACTGAAGTATTTTAGCTTTTAAACAGTTTTGAAGCCTGAAAGTAAAAAGCAAGAATTTGTAAAATTTCATAGAGCAGTATGGACCGGATGAATTTAATAACAGTGCCTTAAAGATGGGAACTCACAATCTCTATGTGACTGAATATATAAGTTTGTGAACACAAATCCTTCAGCGTTCATTATTGAAAACAAATCTATTTTGCTATTTGTTGCCTTTGTTTCAATTTTGTATTTCTGTATCAGAACGTTTAGGAAAAAGTTGAAAATAAAAACATTGAACGAAGAAAGAGTACACAGTACAGTTCTCTAGGTTGAAATCAGTCTATGCCTGAAGGGTTAATGTTACTTATTAAGACTCAGTGGTTGCCAGAATTTTATTTGCAAGGGAAAGTTCGCCTTTACAATTTACTTTCTCTCGGCACTCACAGGGGGTGAGGGAAACTGCTGCTGCTCATAAATGTGTCCGGGTTTTGGTTGTAAAATTCAACAGAACGGGGTTTGCAGTTCATTATATAGTGCTTAGTGAAAGTTAATAGCATCACTGCATCCAGTGACTGTTTCAGCAGGAAACCCAGCTCTTTCAATGTGGTCCCTTTGTGTGAGCTTGAGAGAAACCAGGATCCAGCAAGGGTTTCACAGACGGCTGCCTCGTGAGGAAGGGTACTAACAGGCAACTTATTAGAAGTTAATTACCCCACACTTTAAGAAAAGGAAAATTCTTCCCATTCAAAATTACAAATACCTAAATTCCATCCCGTTCAGATGTAATGTCTCCTATTGGTGAGGTGCACCGAGAGATGAGTTTTATCTCCTATCTGTTGCTATGAATCTGGTAATCTAACAATACCATGCTGTGCTGAGTTAGTGAATATATGCAATTACTCCTTCAGGAGTCCTGTGTTCACTGTGTGAGAGATAAGAGAGAAAATTAGGAGAGGAGAAAGGGAAATGGAGTGATTAATTGATGGATACATATGAACATATAGGTTTAGTCATGGACACAGGATAGAGATCTTGTTTAATGCTCATATTTGTACCTCAGAAACATGGGAAATGTATAAACAATTGTTTCATTTATTTGATATAAGGAAATTGATTAACTTTTCTAATTTGTTAATTAATAGTTGTGCAGATACTCATGGTTATTAATGTTAAATCCAAATTTTTGTTATTATTTCTTTGAGTGACACGAATAGAAAATAAGTAGAATTAAGGTATGTGTTAGTTTCTGTTGAGTTCACATGTTGCACTGTAGTTTCTAGATAATGAAAATAAAACAGATTCTTTTGCTTCATGATGGTGCTTCTCGACCTGCAAATGCTATCCCAAAATGTTATTGAGCAAACGTTTCTGCAATGTCTTGATTTCTTGAGGAAAGTTCAGTCCTGCAAAACACAGTGTCTGGGCTGACCCTCTGAAAGATTACAGCTTTTTCTTGCAGTTGTGCAAAGATTAAATGTAAAATACTCGAGATGCAACCATTCAAATAAATGCATATACTGTTTCCTAAAGACAAACTTAAAACTTGATTAGGCACAATGCTTTCAGGTTTTGCGCCTACTCCCAGAATTAATTACTTTGTTTTGTTTACCAGCTTGTTTACCTGAATTTTTGATAGTAGGGCAACTTTCAAGATACTTTACATGTTTTGTGCTTGTTCCCTTTCATTTAGCTTTGCTAGAACTAGTTGCAGGTGCCTAATGAAACAATTATTGTTTAGAGCAGATGTAATAAAAAGAACATTTACTTATTCAGGTCAGTAGAAAGTTGCTTTATGTAAGTTTATGCGCCAGAGGTAGAAAAAGAAACCTCTTCAGTAATGGTGATCCTTTTTACACTGTTTTGCACAGTTAATTTCCACAGTCGATTTTGGTAATCTCAAGTTACTTTCCCAAGGTTCAGATATACGTGCATTC